TGTCGCTCACATTTCCAAACATACGAAACAGATAGAAGATGAAAGACATAAAGCAGTGGAAACGAACCAATAAAGAAAAAATACTCACCTGGAAATGAAGAAAAATCCACGGCCATGAAAGTAAACAAGAACAAAACTACAAACAAGGTCAGATTCGAGTCAGAATAAAAAAACAGCGGAGTTATAGGCAAGTACCACAGTAAGACGGAAATCCGACAAAGAGGAGAGTACGTGAGTAGTACGCACAAAATTATTAGATATGATGAAAGTAGCTCCAGATTGAAGGCATGTTGGAAATCGACGACGACAAGGACAACACAGAGAGCAACTGCGGGAGATCCTGAGGATAGATGATGAGTACACTGCAAGGATAGGGAAAGTGGCGGACAAGGACTGGGAACGAAGGGTATAAATACTGAGGATAGTGACTGAAATGATTACCTGAGCAGTGAGGTAGAAGGGTAATCGTGACTGGTGTCGCATGCCATGGACATTACGTGTATGCTGTGAAAGTAAAACCTCGCACGTTCTGTCTACATTTGCATGTGTATGCTGTGAAAGTAAAACCTCRAACKTTCTGTCTATATTTGCATGTGTTTATCTCTATGCACGGTGCTTAGAACTTGCGAGCGGTACCCGGGATGATTGGCACTGTATAGACTTGTCACTCTTTCATTTTACATTCACTGTCTTTATATCTCTCTCATCATTCGTAACGCTTTTCTTTCATGATATCATAGTGGCGATTTGTTGGAGATTACTATAGCGTGAAGATTACTCAACGATTTTTGGAGATTCTATTTTACTTATCTGGTGTGTACTGAAGACGATCAACGGGGTTGTGGGGTTTTGTATCGATTTCAAGTAGTACGAAGACTACCTACCTGACGTTCCCAAGCTTCAARGAAGATGTCGCGTTGGCGATCATCGTCGAACAGGAGGCGGTGCAGACACTCATCATCATCTTCCGGATCTCAAGGGAGGAAGTGCTCAAGAAGGGGGAGATTAAAAACTCCGAGAGATAGAAGACATAAGTCAAGATCACCATCGTCACGGAGAAGAAAGGCGGAGTCAGAATCTCCAAGGTGGTTCTTGAGATAATTGTGGGAGCAAAGACGGAATGATTTCCCCCCACCGGGAAATCGAGCGTGGTTTACGACGGATCTAAAAGAAGAAATTTTTAAGCTCCGTCGGGAGATGGACAAAGTTCTCAAGACACTGGAGCAACTCACACGAAAGACAAGTGAAAAGAAGCTAACTCCTCCGAACAAGGAAGACACTGCAAAGAAGCCTGAACTAACTCCGGACGCGCTCAAGTCCTCCATTGATGAAGCACTGAAGCGGACAGAGATGAACCAAGGGGGACAAAATTAAGCTGGTCCAAGCGCAACCGGTCAGAAGAATAAAGAGGCGGAAGATAAAGTAAAAAGGATGGTATCGAAAGTGCAGAAGGAGGTCAACAACCTGAAGCTACTAAAGTATGATCTGGCGGTTGTGAAGGGCGCGTTGCAGAAGATCAATGAACGGACTCGTTCCTGCACTCCGATCGTGTCATCTTCGGTACATCCGAACGGATATGTGGGGAACAATGACTGGACTACCAACTTTTGTACATGGTAGCCACAGCATTCCGAGCCGAAGCATGCCAAGCAGAAGCGCACCGAACAAAAGCAAATTGGGACGAGTAATCCCTCGACACCCCAAGAGAGGACGAACGAAGATTAATCGCAGCGAAGTCGAAGGCAAAACGGAACATTAATTTCGAGGTCGAACCGATGACGGACATGCAGCTCCACGGACCTGAAGGTCTTATGCAAGATGCATGACATCAGGTACAAGGACAAATCGCAAGCGATCTCGGCATTGAGGCAAGTTCCTGGATTGATCGCTTACAAGAGGCGGGACTTCAACTGGGATTCTGATCTTGAAACACAGATCATGCCAGATCCAGATAACATCAGAGTGTCCAATACAACTGGCGGCGACACAAGTGAGGATGATTACGAGAGCCTTAGTACAAGATCAAGCAAGAGTGATGAGTATGACTCATCCGACACATCTTCGAGCGTCGAAGATCTGTCGGGAAGGTAGAAGACACCTCAGCATCAGGCGACCTCACCACGACACAAAAGCGAGAGCAGATACACAGTCTGTCAACGAAAATTGAGCAACTAGTTAGTACAGGGAGTTTCACCTTGGTGTAGACATATGTACGTGGGAAGGACAGGAAGACAGCCCGACAAGAGATGGACTGAACACATAAACTTGACCAAAAATCCAAATAGAGGAGCACAGCGAAAACCATACAGTTGGGTGCACAAATTTGGTTAGGAGAAATATGTTTTGATACCCATTTGGACGGGAGTGAGATCAGAGGTGATAGGGATGGAAGCAACACTTATTAGGAGACTGAATCCATTCTTGAATACAAGAGGAAAAGCCAGAAAGACTCGGAAAAAACGAAGACGAAGAAGGAGAAAGAGGAAGAAGAATGAAAACA